GAGAGAGAGAGAGAGAGAGAGAGAGAGAGAGAGAGAGAGAGAGAGAGAGATCGAAGTGAATAGATCTGAGAAGGAGACTGCAAATCAGATGCCAGAAAATGGCAGGGGAGACAGAGGCCATATGATGAGCAGGGAGAGAGACGCCAGGAGTTTGCCTGGCGTCTAGACCACAAGGCAGGCACAGGCCAAGAGACCCACGCATGAGAAGGGTCGGAGGCAGGCACAGGCCAAGAGACCCACGCATGAGAAGGGTCGGAGGGGACCCTGGTGGAGGGTGCCAAGGCTTATGCCTATCACCCTCTCCTCGCCATGTCCCCCACCTGCATAGCCTAGGTCTTCCCCACAGGTTGAGGGTAATGGGCAGGGCTGCCTGCAGGCCAGGACCCCATCAGGGGAGACAGCAGCCCCCTCCTGTCTTTGTCCCTGGCTGGGGGACAAAGGGAGTCAGGGTGCTGAGGGAGGGAAGTCGTCTCCATGCCATCCCCCTCACTCATCTCTTTCTCCCCCGCAGTATGAGAGCAAGTTGAGTGGCCTGAAGAAACCACCCCCACTTCAGCCCAGCAAAGAAGCCTGGTGAGTGACAGCACCCTGTCCTTGTGCTCCTCCCTCCCACCCCACCCCCGCCTTCCCGGAGGCCTGGGAGGAGGTGTGGGGACCACTCTTTAGAAGAGGGATCAGGCAGGTCCCAGTGCAAATCCCACCCCACCTCCTGTTAGCCCTGTGGCTTCAGGCAGTGCTGTTTCCCTCACGTACTCTGTTTCCCCCTCCAGAAAATGGGGTAGTAATAGTGATAATAGGCTGATGGGTGAGGATTCAAAGAGACTCTGTTAAGAGCATTCATGAGGGATTGGTGTGGCTTGGTCACTGCGGCATCCTCAGCACCTGGGAAAAGGGCTGGGCAGTCGGCACTTAGCAGCACAGGATGGGCGGGCGGAGGGGTAAATGTTGGAGGCTTGCATGCGTTCTCTCCCTCTCTTCTGCCATCTTCCACCAAGAGTGTTGGTAAGTGCCTAAGTCCTGTGCTGGGTTCTGGAAACACAAGACAGACCAAGTCCTATCCCTGTTGTGTGTGGGGTCCTCTGATCTTCAGCACAGGGTGGGGACCAGCATGTCCAGTGAGGGAGACCGTCACACAATAAAGAGACATAATTCACTGTAATACGCGCTGTGGTAGAAAGCCTAGTGAGAGGACAGGATTTTACCTACCAGCCAATCAACAGACCAACCTGGCTCTGCCCCTCCCCGAGGTTGCTGCTGGGTCCCCGGCTGCGCGGGTCCATGCTGACCCCTGGTGGCCGGAGACAGTATAGCATGGAGGATGAGTTTCAGGCTCTGGTCTCTGACTCCCAGCTCTGCCTCTTCCTCACTGTATATGCTTTGGGTCAGGGCACTTCACCTCTCCAGGCCTCGGCTCCCTCCTCTGTGAAACGGGGATAATGTTAGCACCTGCTTCCTTTGGTTGCCCGGAAAGATTCAGTGAGAGAGCAAGCACTGCCTGCACACATTAGCACCTGCTTTGGAAGCATAGACTTGCCCCTTTGTGTTCCGGCCTGGGGCTCAGGGTCCAGGATCTGGTTTCTCCTGGCCTCACCACCAGCTCTACGTGTGTATGGTCTCTCCCAACCCACCCCAGTTTCCTGGAGCATTTGCACAAACATCAGGGCTCCGTCCTGCACCCGGACTACAAGACAGCCTTCCCCTCCTTCGAGGACGCCCTATATCGCCTCCTGCCCTACCACGTCTACCAGGGCGCCCTCCCCTCCCCCAACGACTACCACAGAGGTGAGACCTCCCCAGGACTACCCCCATCCTGTACCAGCTGTGTGGAGGGGGGTGGTGAGGTACCTCGCTTTGCCTGTCCGCCCCCAACGTCTGCCTCTGGACCTCGTCTCTTCCTCCGCAGTGGACGAGGAGTTTGAGACGGTCTCCACGCAGCTGCTGAAACGCACGCAGGCCATGCTCAACAAATACCGCCTCCTGCTCCTGGAAGAGTCCCGGGTAGGGTAGCCGTCACCTTCCCGCTCACGCGGAGAGAGGGAGGCAGGCAGGGAGGATGGTGGTCAGCTGACAGGAAGGACCGTTTGGAGCGCACTCCTATCCATCCGGGTTGCTCGCATCCCCTTCCTCCCTCCTGGCTTTTTCACTTGCCCGTCTTCTCTTCCCCCTTAGAGGGTGAGCCCCTCGGCAGAGATGGTGATGATCGACCGAATGTTCATTCAGGAGGAGAAGACCACCCTTGCCTTGGACAAACAGCTGGCCAAGGAGAAGCCAGGTGAGAGGGGAAGGGAAGGAGAGGTGTCCCCACTCCTACCTGGGCCCCAGAATTAGACTTAGGGGTCCAGGGAGTGGACATGGCCTCACCTTACTCCGCCACTAGGCGGCGCCCGAGCCCCATCTTCCTGCAGTAGCTGATCTCCCTTGACCTATAAGAGCTGAGCTCCTCTTCCCTCGTCATGGTGTCCCTTTCACCCCCTCAATCCTGGCTTGGAGGGAACATTCTGCTACTCTCAGGGGGGAGTAGAAAAGCAGGGGGGCAGAGCCAGGACTAGGGTGAAGCAAGCAAGGTGCCCAGGTTGCAAAATGTAATGTGGCCTCTACTCTCAAGTTCCGCCCCCCCGGGACTGCTGAAGGTGGGCGGGGGGGCTAATCTGTGGGTGCGTAAACCTAAGGGGTCACCCAAACCTCCCGGGCCAGGGAAGGTGGAGGAGGAAGGGCTGCCAAGGCCAAAGAACTGGAGGAAAGCGGGGTGCAGGCTTGGGGGTCATGTTTGAGGAGGGTGGCCTCCATGCCAGTGACCTCTGAGCCCTGTCTGCCCCCTGCCCTGCCCTCAGGCCTCCCTCCTCTGCTTCCTGCCGAGAGCAAAGCTTTTGCCAGCAACCTCCCAACTCTGAGTGTGGCCAAGGCCACTGCATCCGGACCGGGGAAGCCCTCCGGGCTGCAGGTAAGGGGCCACCAGATTGGAGAGCTAGGACCAGAGCCACCCTGCCAGGGAACTGGGTAAGGGGCTGTTGGGGCAGGGGAGGCCAACAGGTGGTCAGGGACGGGCGGATGTGACAAACCCAGGCGATGGGTGAAACAGCAGGACAGTCCAGGCAGGGGCATGCAAGAGACCCACAGACACCAAGACAACAGGGTGACAATAGGCAAGATGGCCTGAATGAGACCTCAAGATGGTCACTGGGGGTGGAAACAGGTAAGAGGTTGAGACTGGAGGAGGAGGACAGGTGAGACTGTCAGATGTCAGCTCAGGACAGGTAGGGTGAGACAGTTGGATGAGAGACACAAGAGGAAGGAGCAGGTGAGACCCTAGACAGAGGGGCAG